TATACTTTGCAAATTAAAGTCTCATGTCAACTAGAGGTATTTAATGTCATTTTTTGGTTTAGAAAAGTAAGAAATATATGTTCATGTGTCAATTTTGAAAAAGCAAAGTCTGTTTCTTGCAGACTATTAACTTATGGAGGTGAAGGTCTGTCTTTTCCATCTGTGATTGTGTAACAGCTGGAGAGTGTGACAGAATCCCTGGCTTGCAGGAAGTACATCTGTTTTATGGCTTTCTGCACTCTCCATGGGACTCACTGGATGGAAAAGAAAGCCTCTGATATTAAGACTAAGCTAATATGTGCATCTGATCATATAAAATAATATTTATCGGGGCTGGGAAGGTTGCTCAGCGGGAGAGTGCTTGCTTTGAATACATGCCTTGCATGATGAAGTGCTGAGAGACAGCACCCAGGCCCAGAGTTCAGGCCCCACGACTGACAAAAACTAAAACAACAACAGCAACTATATATATATATCCATATGTATGTATGTATACATACATACATATATACATACATATGTATGTATGTATATATATACATACATATGGATACATAAATATATATACATACATATACATATATATATATACACACATACATATATATATATAATCAAAATAAACTCTGGGAAGTAGAAATAGGAGGGTTTTTTTGTTCTTTATTGCTGTTTTTGTTTTCATTTCCTTTTGTCATCTTTGTTCATTTATCTGTCTTTGGGAGGGTAAGAGAGGACACAGAAATGGAGGGACAAAAAGGTGAACAAATACAGCAGTGGTACTCACTAGACATCATGTTGAAAATAAACTGTCAACTTGTGAGTGGAGATAGGAGGGAAGAACTGGGAGAGAGCAAGGGAAGGGGTGCCATTGTTCAAAAAGAAATGTACTTATTACCTGACTTATATAACTGTTACTCCTCTGTACATCACTTTTTTTTTTGGGTCCAGTTGTGGGGCCTGAACTCTGGGCCTGAGTGCTGTCCCTCAGCTCTTCAGCTCAAGGCTAGCACTCTACTACTTGAGCCACAGCGCCACTTCCGGCTTTTTTCTTTTTGCTTATGTGGTGCTAAGGAATCGAACCCAGGGCCTCAGGCATGCAAGGCAAGCGCTCTACCACTGAGCCACCTTCCCAACCCTGTACATCACTTTTATAATAATAAATAAATTTTAAAGAAAAGAAAGTAAAGCCTTCATATTGAAAAAAAAAAGACTAAACTTAAAAAAAAAAAAAGCTGTCATTTGGGTTTTTAAGATGAACCAGGCAGTAATAAAAATCAACAAAACCCCAAATGCCAATAGTTCGAAAGGAGAAGACAGAGTAAGTGAAGGGTGGGTGTACAGCATTTGCTCACTCACTTAGTTCAAGAAAGGGCTTTGTGTCAGGATGAAAGCAAGGATGGATAAAACAGCCTTGATTCATTAGGCTGAGTGGACATGGGAGAAAAAGAATCAAAGAAAATAAAAAACAGGGCAGCTGGTTTCTCCAAAGCCATCTGTTCTTACCATGAAGTTTATAAAAGGATTTTTTGAGACAAGCTTTCCAAATCAGATCCTGCTCTTTCCTTAGGACTGCTTGCTTACCCCACTTTAGAATGTGGAAAAGTTGTTCTTCCCCATGTGCCTAGATTCTTCCACATAAAAACAGGAGCAGGGAACTCACGCTGGTCCATCATAAGCAGTTGCATGGACAGAGCGAAAGACAGAGACACACTCTCCAGCACAGGAGAAGATTCTGAAATCTAGGTACATTTATTCCAACACTGACTACAGAATCTTCTCTGACACAGTTCTTATCAGACTAAAGATTCACTTTGGTCCTGTCAAAGCTTTCAGGCAGAAAATTATTCTCAGTGGCTGAAACTCGGTTAAATAAATTTCACTGCACAAGAAAAAAAATTACTTGCAGTAATATGAGAGAAGAAATCTCAGGCAGGTAACCAGGAAATAGGAGTGTCAGCAGAGAAGAACACGATCTCTACCCTGGGGGACCAGGGAGAGAGGTCTGGTCTAGCAAGGAGCAGGGAGAAAGGGGTGAACCTGGATCCATCAGTCTAACATGTTCTGAAAGGGATGAAGAATCTGAGCCTGCAAAGGTATCAATCTTTATCTGGATAGCTTTTATCATGGATAAAATGTTGACAAGTTTGAGCCAGTAACCAAAGCTGTGGTAGTCTGAAGAACAAAATGAATAACAGCGGTATTGAATATGCATAGAATGGAGTAAATATCCATATTGTCAAAGCTCATCTAAATACATAATTAGTGAATAAATAATGAGATGGTAGAAGAAGGGACAGATCTTCCCCACAGGAGAATACCAATGAAGGAAAATAAAATATGTCCAGTAAGCACATAATAGTGATAATTGTTGGAAGCAAGAATTACTGATGCCTCCCCAATTTAATGGGTAAAACGATGAGGGGGTGGGGGTGGGAACCCTAGTACTACACAGGTGCTCGGTATTGTCAGAAACAAGTAAAAGTTGGGCTAATTACAAATAGAAAAAGAATAGTTTTACTGAGAGAAGCTATAAAACATTGCCTGAAAAGAGTAATCAAATTTCTCCTCTGACACCAGTGACCTTGAACCCACTGAGAAGGGCCACAGCAACCTACCTTCGTCATTCTTGCTCCATATATATAATCTCAATGTAATGATCAGAAAACCTCAGAGAAATACAAAGTGAGGAGCTGTCAATAAAGCAACAGGTCTACACTTTTTTCAAGCCTCCAGATTATGGAAAATCAGGATAGGCTGGGCAGGAGACTATGGGGCATGAATGTCCACTCATCATGTAACTTGGCCTGGATCCTGCTTCAGAAAGGCTGTTAGTGGAGACATCTAAATACAAGTAGGGTATCTATATCAATGAAGAGCACTGAACCAATGTTAACTTCTTGGTGTTGATAGTTAGATGCTGTGGGTTAGGAGGAAGCTGGGTTAAAAACAGATGAGGACTTGCTGGGTGCCAGTGGCTCACACCTGTAATCTCAACTACTCTCAGGAGGCTAAGATCTGAGGATGGTGGTTTAAAGCTGGCTCAGACAGGAAAGTCCATGAGATTCTTTTTTTTTTTTTGGTTCCGGTCGTGGGGCCTGAACTCTAGGCCTGGGCACTGTCCCTCAGCTCATTTAACTCAAGGCTAGCGCTCTACCACTTTGAGCCACAGCACCACTTCCGGCTTTTCTCCTTTTGCATATGTGGTGCTGAGGAATCGAACCCAGGGCCTCACACATGCAAGGCAAGCGCTCTACCACTGAGCCACCTTCCCAGCCCAGTCCATGAGATTCTTATCTCCAATTAACCAACAAAAATCCAGAGGTGGAGCTGTGGCTCAAGTGGTAGAGTGCTATCTTTGAGGAGAAAAGGCAAGGGAGAATGTGAAGCTGTGAGTTCAAACCTCCCCCTTCACCCCCCCCATACAAACACACACACACACATACACACACACACACATTTTTTAAAAAAGATGGAGATTTTATGTTGCTTTTGCAACTATTTTCAAGTCTAAAATTATTACAAAACACACATTTTAAAATAATTAAGTTTAGCGTTATTTCATCTGTCAGCCATTAGGACCAGTCTGATGTACATTGCTCAGGTGAGCCCTGATAGAAATCAGAGAGGAGAATCAATAGGAAAAAGATAGGGCTAAGTAGACATCTGCTGTTCTACTGGCACAATATTCCCTAAAGCAATGGCCCTGCCCCTGAGCCCCAGTAATGCCTATCTTATTTACATTTCAAGGCCTAGAGCAAGCACAGCCACCAGCAACAGCGAGCTTTATGTACAGCTTGCTGAGAAGACAGGGCAATGGAATCTGGGGAAGTTATGGTAGTGTGCTTAACGGGAACGTTCAAAAGGAAAAGAAGAGTAAGGGACTAAACTTGGAGAAAAAAAAAAAAGAGCAAGCAAGCCAGACCACTTAGAGATTATAGAAGAAAGGCAGAAAAGAAGCCAGTCATCCTAATTACTGGATGGCTTCCCTCAATAGCCTCTCTTCCTTAGAGTTTCCAAAACCTAAACAAATAGGTCAAACCATTTTGCTGGTTTTGCCTAAATCAAACAAGACATGTCTATGGAAGTAACTTCTTAGTCAAAATATTTTGTTGGACTTTATAATTCTGAAAAGCTTTAAAACACCAAAAGAAACCTATCTAAATAATATTACATACTAGATAAACAAATAATTCTCATACACATAGTGTTGTCTCTTTTTAGTTATTAAAATATATGTGAAGAGGTGCACTAAGAAAAAGTAATGATATAGAGCCATCAGAATGAAGAAGACACAAAGGTTTATCCCTTCCAAACTTGGCTTTCAGGTTAACATATTTTGCCAGTTGCTAGTGGCTCATGTCTGTAATCCTAGCTATTAAGGAGGGTAAGATCTGAGAATTGTTGTTTCAAGCTAGCCTGGCCAGGTAAGTCTTTGAGACTCATTTCTAATTAATTATATAAACAAACAAATAAAAACAACTTTCCAAGCATCCATGTCTCAACCTATAATCTTAGCTACTGAGGATGCTGACATCCACGATCACAATTTGAAGACAAACTAGGCAGAAAAGTCCCCATGAGACTCAATTAACCATTCAAAAACCAGAAAAGAAAGCTGTGGCTCAAAGTGACAGAGTGCTAGCCTTAAGCGAATCAGTTCAGGAACAGCACCCAGGCACCCGAGTTTAAGTACTACAAAGGAAAAAATAAAAGCACAAGCAGTTGGAGGTGTGACTCAAGTAGTAGTACCTTAGCCCTGAGTTCAAGCCCCAGTTCTGGCACAAAAAAAAAAAAAAATACAAACGAACAAACAATAATATCAGATTTTAAAACGTTTAGCTTAGCTCCCAAGATTGTAGAGTAGATTCTAGTAGTTGCCACTGTGGAGTTAACTGTTTTGTGATGAGTCCCTAGCATCATGCTCACAGCAAATAGTAATATACTATCATTTGGAAGGCAGGTCCAGGAGCATGACAGGACTGTGATCTGTACATACATACCTCCCACCGCATTACAGCGAGACGTCATCTCCCAGAGCACCAGAGCCATGGAATACACATCCGTCTGCTTGAAGGACTCAACATTCTCCAAATTCATCCTGGATTCTAGTACTTCTGGGGCCATGTATCTTGCAGTTCCCACCTAAATAAAAACAGGCATTGAGGCCTTTCATTTCATTACAATGTCTTTATTTTAACACCACAGTTGATACGTGTCACTCCCACAGGCAGATTACCTTAAAAAAAAATCACAGTGCTTCCAAATGCTGGTGGCTCACACCTGTAATCCTAGCTAATCAAGAGGCTGAGATCTGAAGACAGTAGTTCAAAGAGAGCCAAGACAGAAAAGTCTATGAGAACCTTATCTCCAATTAAGCAGCAAAAAGCTACAAGATACCACCTGAGCAAAATAACCAAGAGAGAGCAAAGGCTCAGATACAAAAACAAAAATAACAAAAACTCCACAATGAAGTTTTAAATTAAGAACAACACAGAAAGAGAGAGCAATATAGTCACTAAAAAAAAAAAAAAATAGAACATCTCTTCCAGAAAACCCTTGGAAGATTATAAACAAAGGAACAAAGAAGTGCCAGAGACTTATCTGACTTCTAATGTATGTCATTACAGATAATATGAGAGAATATAGCAAGACATTTTAGATGCTTAGTTTTGCTTTTACAATGAAAATTAAACATTTCTGGTTTTGTACCAGTGTTAGAACTCAGGGCCTTATACATGTTTGCCTTGCTACCACTTGAGCCATGCCTCTATCCCTGTTTTTTACTAGTTATTTTAGAGATGAAGTCTTGTGGTCTATTCTACCTGGTTTGGTCTTGAGTCTCAATTCTCTAGAACTCAGCCTCCCAAGTAGCTAGGGTTACAAGCATGAGTTAGTGCAAAGTAAATAATTTTTCTTTAATTCTTGAAACTCTAAAATGAGAAAAATTGACATTCATTTTGATCACTTAAGAGTTGTTTTAATCTTTGTTTACTCCAAGACATAGTCTAGTTTTCCAAGACTATAATTTCCAAGATATAATTCTACAAGTCACCTAAATTAAAATTACATGAAAGTATTTTCACAGGACAAGACCAAATCCAAATCATATTTTAATTTTTAAAGATGTGACACATAATTGTGTTTTGACTCATAGGCCTGTGGTAAACTTTATTACTGACCATATGTGAACATGGGATTCAAAGGAATAAGAAAAATACTTCTAACAAAAAAATCACTTTCAAATTAAATGTATGATATTGTAGCTTGTACAGCTTGACTTATACAACAATTGCCAGACCTTGTCAAGGACCTAAGGAGGTCAAGTAATTTGACACCAGTGTTCCAAGGAATGGTTCTTACAGGCACTTTGTAGAAGACAGCTTTCTTTTTAATGGGTCACTGTATGAGTCATGGCCTTGACATATGGATTTATTTCTATTTCAACATGTTAACCTCAACACTGCCTGGGTAGCTGGAAGCACAGAGGCTGCCTGGGCAGAAACTCCACATATTCAACACTTCTGAATATATAAGAAGTAAATCCTTGGCCAGGCACCAGTGGCTCATGCCTGTAATCCTAGCTACTCAGGAGGCTGAGATATGAGGATCATGCTTCGAAGCCAGCTAGCTTCAGGAAAGTCCGTGAGACTCTTAACTCCAATAAACCACCAGAAAACCAGAAGTGATGCTGTGGCTCAAGTGGTAGAGGGCTTGCCTTGAGTTAAAGAGTGCAGGGACAGGGTCCAAGCCCAGAGTTTAAGCCCCACAACCTAAAAAAAAAAAAGAAGAAGAAGAAGAAAAAAAAGAAGTATATTCTGCCAACTGGCCAGAGAGAATAGCCTGGGGAATGCCTGGGCTCATCACCAGGGAAGGGTGTCCTGGACCTTTCTAGTCACTTTCCAATAAGTTGTTAACCAAAGTCCTTTTTCATGACTATTGATGATCACTTTCACCATCCTAGGCATGCAGGTAGGTGTCACAAGAACACAGATTTAGGTAGGTTTCAAGAAGGCTACCTTCTGTAAGCTAGAAGTCAATATGATTATTGACATTAATCAAAATGATTGTGCACATACATTGGTTGATTTAAGATGTTGATTTAAGATCCCTTTGTTGGGCTGGGAATGTGGCTTCGTGGTAGAGTGCTTGCCTTGTGTAAATGAAGCCCTGGGTTCGATTCCTCAGTACCACATAAACAGAAAAAGCTGGAAGTGATACTGTGGTTCAATTGGTAGAGTGCTAGTCTTGAGCAAAAGAAGCTCAGGGACAGTGCCCCAGGATTGACAAAAAAAAATCCCGTTGTACAATTACTTAAAGATTATATGTATATGTGTGTGTGTGTGTGTATATATATATATATATATATATATATGTATATATATACACATATACAACAGTGTAGAGGAGAAAGAACCAAGTAAAATTGAAAGAGAGGGAAAAATAGAGATAAGCTGGTAACTCATGTCTGTAATACTAACTACACAGGAAGCTAAAATCTGGAGGATCTTGATTTTGAAACCAGCTTTGACAGAAAAGTCTACATGACTCCATCTCCAAAATAACTAGCAAAACACTGGGCTGGAAGTATGGCTCAAATGCTAGAGCACCAGCCAAATAAGCAAATCCAGCAACTGTGAGACTCTGAGTTTAACTGTAAGGGTTAGCCAGATGGGACATTAGCCAAGTTACAGAATCAGCCCGGGTGTCCATCAACCATGAATAAAAGAAATGTGGTACCTGCACCTACTGGAGTATAATCTGGCTCTAAACAATGCGACTATGTTGTCCGCAGAAAAATGGACTGAAATGGAGATAATCGTGTGAAATTACATAAGCCAGACTCAGAAAGATTAATTATCACATATTTTCTCTCATATGTAGAATTCAAGCTTGGGGGGGGGGGGTGGGGGGGACACATGACAGGAAAGTAAAAGGGGAATGTGAAGAGGAGAAGGAGCAGGAGAATGAGAAAGTGTAATGGGAGGTGTCATTACATTATATGCATGTATGAAAATGTCATAATGAAGCTTTTTCTATGCATAATTGATAAACACTAATACAAATATTAAATAAAATGCATGGTTTTTTGTTTGTTTGTTTTTTTCAGAAGAGCTAAGTTTGGGCCTGGCTCTAAGTCAGAAGGATTGGCATTGAATTTAACTTACCTGCCCGCTATTGGCCAGGTCATCCACAGACAGAGTAGGGTCCAGACGCAGGGACAGCCCAAAGTCACACAGGCAACAGGTCAGGTCATTCTTCACGAGGATATTGGAGCTCTTGAGGTCCCTGTGTACAATGGGCACCTTGGGCCTCCCACAGGGAGTGTGGTCACTGTGCAGGTGAGCGATACCCCGGGCCAGGGAGCTGCCCAGCTTGCACAGGTCCTCCCAGCTGATGACATGCCGTGTGAGGTACTCCTGCAGGTTGCCCTTAGCGTGGAAGGCAGTGATCAGCCAGTACTGTTTCCCCAGCTCTGTCTTCCGCTCCTCGGCTGTCAGGAACTGCAGGATGTTCTCATGCTTCAGGTTGATGTCTGAAAAGATGTCCTTTTCCGTTTTCCAGGAAGCGTACTCCTCATAAGGGAAGATCTTGACAGCCACAGTCTCAAACTGCTCTGAAGTGTTCTGCTTCAACTTGGCCTTATAGACTTCAGCAAAGCGCCCTTTGCCCACCAGGGTGTCCAGTTCGATGGGCAGCAGTTCGGTGTTGTGGTTGATGTTGTTGGCACACGTGGAGCTGATGTCAGAGCGGTCATCCTCCAGGATGATGGCACAGTGGTCGCTGAATTCCATGAGCTTGCGAGTCTTGCTGCTTTCCCAGGACGGGCTCAGCTTCTGCTGCCGGTGAACTCGGTAGCAGTAGAAGGTGACGATGACGGCGATGGCAATCCCCAGGGGTGGCAGGAGGCTGACACCCGTCACTTGAATTATGACTAATAACAAGTCAGGACTGTTGGTGGTATACTCTAATGTGGAGACAAAAGAAGGGACAGGAGATGGGCTCAGGAGGTACAACGTGCCCAAGCATCTAGCTACATGTTAGCATTTGAACACTTTCTGCAGATTCTACATTATAATTTTTTTTTCCCTTTGGTGCCATTACTGGGGCTTGAACTCAGAGTCTGGTCATTGTCTCTTTGCTTTTTCACTCAAATCTGCAGCTCTACTACTTGAGGTCCACCTCTACTTTTTCCTTTTGCTGGTTAATTGGGAGTTAAGACTCTCATAGACTTTCCTGCCTGGACTGGCTTTCAAATCTTGATCTTCAGATCTCGACCTCAGGAGTAGCTAAGATTCCAGGTGTGAGCCACCAAAGTCTGGCCATTGTGATTCCCCTCCGCCCACCCACCCACAGGTGTTGATATGTACCTGTACATCATTCTTTGCCTCTGATAACCCATTTAGCCTAGCCTACGCCCCACTCCCCCTCCAGGTATTAGGGTTGAAACTCAGGGCCTGTACTCTTGCTTTTTCCTATCAAGGATGGTTCTTTCTCTACCACTTGAACCACGCCTCACTTCCACATCTCCTAGTCATCCTAGACTTCAGCTTGAATGTCGCTCCCTAAAGGAAGTTTAAGAAAACTAGGTAAAATGCCTTATGCTTATATATCCACACAGCACCTACAATCTTCCTATGGAACACTTCAGCACAATTAGATCTGACAAATCATGACCTCGTGATTTGTTTGTGTGTTTGTACCAGTACTGGGCTTGAATTCAGAGACTGGGAGCTATCCCTTTGCTTTTTCCACTCAAGGCTAGTCTCTACCATTTGAGTCTCAGTTCTACTTCCAGCTTTGGCTAACTAATTGGGAGATTTCAGTCTCATGGACTGTTTTTTTCTGGGGTTGGCTTTGCATCACAGTCCTCAGATCTCAGCCTTCTCAGTAGCTAGGATTACGAGCCACCAGTGCCCAGCTAATTTTTTGGTTTCGTATCTGTCATTCCCTATTCTTTTGCTCAGCCTGCTGAGACTCATACTGGCTGGGAGTTCACTGTACATACAACACGTAGTAGGTCCCCAATATTTCTGAAAAAAGACAAACATCTCCTGAGTGATGATGATAGAGGAAGCATTGGAAATAAAGACAAAAGGGGAAAGCTCCTGCCTTCAAAATGCTTGTATAAATCATGTGTGGTTAAAATACAGAAACTGCCACAGTTCAGCCACCATCTTTTCCATTTTCCAAGCTCCAACATATTTTGCTCCAATCATCATCCAGGTTATCCTGAGCATCAGCTCTGGGCCTGAGTATGAGGAGCAGAGTCTCTGGAAAAGATCTCTTTGGAAATCGGTGACTTTATGTCCACCACATAGTTCTCTTTATACGGTGCAAATAGTTTAGTGTTCTGTCAAATAGGAATAATTAATGGAAACATTGGTATGAGGGTAAGAGAAGCGAAATGGAAATGCAGCCAGTGTTCTGACAGCACACTGATGCAGGCCTCTGTGAACTCATCAAACATAGTCCACGACAACTGATATCCAACAACACTTTCTTCAGTATCAAACTTTGGTTCCTGGGCCAGCCTTGATTGCCTTAAGAGAGTTTTCCTCTTGGAAATAATGTGATAGATAAAAACACAGAGTGGACAGGAAAAAGTGAAAGGCAGATAAGAGTTCAGGGAGAAAGTCTGTTTTTCTTTTGTTGTTTGTTTTGTTTTGGCCGGTCCTGGGGCCTAAACTCAGGGCCTGGGCACTGTTCTTGAACCTCTCTGTGCTCAAGACTAATACTCTACCACTTGAGCCACAGCACCACTTCCAGCTTTTTCTGTGTATATGGTACTGAGGAATCAAACCCAGGACTTCATGCATGATAGGCAAGCACTCTATCACTAACCATATTCTCAGCCCTGAGAGCTTCTGTTTGATATCTCCATTGTGTATGTGCTTGAACTCAGAGCCTGGGCACTGTCATGTAGTTTTGTCCGCTCAAGAGTAGCGCTCTACCATATGAGCCACTTCTCCACTTGGGGCCATTTTCGGTGGTTAATTAGTTATAATCATTTCATGAAATTTTCTGCCCAAGCTGGCTTGGAGTGGGGATCTTCAGATTTTGGTATCCTAAGTAGGTAGGATTATAGGCTTGAGTCATTAACACAAGGTAAAAGTTCTATTCTTTATGCGCAGTTTATCTTCTGTTGAACATGAGCAGGCTTCAGGCGCAGAGACTGGATTCATTTATCATTATTATTATTATCATTATCATTATTATTTATTCATTATCACCAAAAGGATGTATAATAGGCATGATACCCTCAAAAAGTACCCAGAGGATGAAGTAGTGAATGTAAACATGGCCTGTGAGAGAAATGTGTGATGTTATCTGTATGTTGTTAGATTGTGAAATGCTCTTGGAAACATAGAAGGCCCAGTGGTAAGGGTAGCTTTTGAGTGGGTCTCATACAGATTGCAAAGGCCAACAATATCTGGAAAGAAGATCATAATAAGGAGAAAGGACATACAACCTATCCCAGAATCCCTCCAGAACTGAATAGAATAGAAAGAGAAAACATTGAGGTTTGATGCCATCATTTAATTAAGTAAGTCAGGAATGAGATGAGTACGTCACCCTGTAGGATTTCTGGGTCCATCCAATCTACTCCTTTTTCTAAATAAAAGCTAAGTGGAAATGCCATCTTTCACGGACTCTAAGTTTTAAGGTTTTGTATCTACTTGACACCACTAAGCACTGAGTGAGTAACTCAAACTTCTGGATTTCAGCAGACAGACTCCCTATTTGGGAGTCAGTCACATTAATGTGCTTAAAATAAAAAATTAACAACAACAACAACAACAACAGGCAAAGGTACACAGTTTGGCAATTGACCTTTGAAAACACAAATTCTGAATTGCACTGGGAAGACTGGCTAGGGGACAAAGGACAGGTAGCACGGAGCAGAAGTGGCTACGGAAAGGAGAAGTAAACAAAACAAAACAAAAAAATATGACCCTGAGATGTCCTGTGGAGCCTGTCCTTGGGTCCTCCTGCATAAGCCTACACAGCAAAATTAAAGACACACTTGTGATCCTACCAAGTGTCACAGAAAACTGCAGGGCCTTATCTGCTTGAAGGGCCTCTGTCTCTGCTCTTTGTATCTCCAAAGGTGTGAAATGCCTCATGTCATACACTGGCTTGATTATCTGGTTGACTCTTTCTCTTGAGATAAAGTCAACTCTATATAGCAGCAGCTGCATCTATTTTGATCACTACGTTGTATCCAGCCATTGGTGTAGACTGCGACACTTTATGGTAGTAAACAAATGCATGGTTACTTCTGGGAGAAGGTATTTCTCTTATTTCTTATGTTCTATGACCGGATTTGGCAAAGTATGACCCAAAGGGACATTTCATGACTAGTTTCATTATTGTCTATTTTTTAGCCCTAGGATCTAAGGCTTCCATTTCTCTCTCTCTCTTCTCTCTCTCTCTCCTCTCTCTCTTCTCTCTTTCTCTCTCTCCCCCTCTCTTTTCTTTTTGATAGTACTGAACTAAAGGCTTCATGCTTGCTAGTTACTCTACAACTTAAGCTTACACAGACAGACCATTTTTGCTCTGGTTACTTTTTGCCCAGGGATGGGTTGGCCTACAATCCTTGTGTGTAGTTAATTCTACAGTATGAACTATCACTCCTAGTTTCATTCATTAAGATGGAAGTCTGGCTTACTTTTTGCCTGGGCTCATCTTGGAATAAATCATCCTGATTTTCATTTCTCAAGTAGCTAGGTTTATAGGCTTGCACCACCACATTCAGCCATTTATTTTTGCTTTTAGAGGATTGTATTACAAACACACACACACACACACACACACACACACACACACACACACACACACATTCACATAAAATGGAAAGAGATGGTGAAAGGGAAAGAGAAGAGAACAAAAGAGAAAGAGAGAGAGAAGAGGAGGTGGTGAAGGGAGACAGACAGTGACAGACAGAGAGACAGAGACAGAGAAATATTCTTGCAACAGAGGTCAAAACAAAAACATTTACTGTGTGGTCCTGTAAAAGAAAAAAATGCAACTATTCTTTTTCATATCTAAAGGAATAAAATTAGTGAAATTTAAATATTAACTACATAATTAGTTATTTGTAAGGTCCGCTCCTGGATGGCCAGCAGACTCCACCCTCCTCCCAGCAAAGTCTCCACCCAGTACCTGTGTTACCTAGGCCACACCTTTCTCCACCCATACCCTAGATAAGGCCTAGCCCAGGCCCAGGCGCTATCTCACTCTTTTCTAGCTCTCTCTGCTCTCTCTGCTCTTTTCTAGCTCTCAGCTTTTTCCTTCTGTTCTCTTTCCCAGCTCCCTTCTCTTTTCTAGCTCTCTCTGCACTTTTCTAGCTCTTTCCTCTTTCTTTCCTCTTTCCCAGCTACTTCTTTTTAAAAACCTAACATTATTTGTGTCTATAATTTATTAAACCATCCAAGTGGTTTGTCACTGATAGGTAATTTTATAACCCCTAGCCATACACACACAAAAAACTTCTCCTTGCTAATTTCTATTATTTGTCAGGCTAAGGAAACACATTAAAATAGAAGTTCTCAAAGCATAGAAATTTCTAGAAACTTCCAGTCAAGCTTTATTTTTCTCTCCCTCAAATTTCTCTTAATTTCTTATTGAAAACCTACATGTAAAAATTGGTGGGGACGCAGGGGGCGGGAATATTATTGAATAACATCTGCCAATCTTGAAATCTCAAAGATACGATGAAGTATCCCAACAATAGCAACCAAGGCTGGAAGGAAGCTTTGGGGAGTGGCTCAATCTAAACAGGAGCCTCCCAAGTCCTCCAGCAGTATTCGCCCCTGAGCTGTTCTTTCAGGAGCCAACAGCTGTGGGCACTGGCACAGGCTGGCATCTCCCTTGTTCCCAGATCCACAGGAGCTATTTCTCCCTTCCAGCCCCCACATATAGAGAAAGGCATAAACTGAATACATACTACATACTGGGTGTGTG